CTCGCGAATCGTGTGCTAGGTTCGTAATTAATGGCCCAAGAGCTCATTTGGGATTGGGTTTCTTGTCAAGTTTACCTTCATATTTATGGTGACTGTATCTTGCCACAAGAAGAAGATTACTCGTCACATTCGTCACCAAATGGTGCAGACACTCTTCCTTTAATGTGATGAAGTCCATCGTTCCGCGTCCGAATCTGCAAGGAATCTTTATTTTTTTCTCCTTCTCATCGTATCGCAAAAATAGACGGAAACTAAAAATATGCCAATTGCTTAAAGATCGATGCAAGCTTATGGTGGAGCCCAATCTTTCTAAGTCGACCAATTTGGTTATAACCGAGAAAACCTCGAAGTAAATGTACCTTTCTTACCTTGATCTTCTCTTGCAAATGAATGTGCCGTGCTCTACCAACTGCGCTATTAAGCGTGCTCTACCAACTGAGCTATCAAGCGTTCAGGCCTGAATTTTTTTCAGGCTTTAATTTCACAACTGCTTAAGTTGTGTGTATAACTGCGATGATCAATCATGTCTTCATATCTTTCTCGACAGTTCAAATATAGTCAATTGCATTCTTCGTTATCTACGGGTATATTACGAACTCACAATGTAACCATTTCCCAGTTGGTTTGATAACTCAGTTGGTAGAGCAATGCACCCGTATCGCAGAGGTCATGGGTTCGAATCCCGTTCAGGCGTGAATTTTTTCAGAGTTTAAGTTTACAACTGCTTAAGTTGTGTGTATTACTGCGATGATCAATCATGCCTTGATCTTCTCATGCTGCTATTACAGTACAAAAACGTAGCAGCCAGAAAAAACCATGAAAGAGCGGACAGGCGTCAATTTGTTTGCGTGTGGAAGCCTATGCTTGGGCGAGGTCCTCCTGGAAATGTGTTCCTAGTTTACATTGAAATTGAATTGTTTACGAAATGCTTCAATCTCTAGGGCCGTCTTCCAGTCAAATGGACTGCTTATGAAGCGCTGTTGTACGGAACGTACACTACCAAAAGTGATGTGTAAGTAGATCTGCTCACGACTGGCCAATGGTTTCATAAGAACCACAGCAAGCTGCCAACAGTAAACTTTATGTAAGAAGCGATCATGACACTCTCTACTGGTAATTCCAAAATATCGAAAAGGCGACGATTACCGCTGAAAGATTTTAAAATTTGCGTAATCATATAGAAGGTGAAGATATTAATAGCGAAAAAAACTACAACAGCCTCTGTCATCTTTGTTCATTTCATCGTTATTTGTGCAATAATTATTTATTGTTGAAGTGATCCATATGGAATTCAAAAAAAGAAAACAACTGAACTTTCTGTAAGCCTATTCTAAGTTGCCAACCCCGATAAGCGACAGAAGATT